CAGTGTCCAGCACACAATAAAAAACTCCTGGATGTGCAAACAAGCAGGAAAACTTAACCTGGAAAGAAAAAAGAAAACCCGGTCAATAGACAGACCCAGAGATGACGCAGATGTTGGAATCATGAAAGAAAGATTTAAAACAAAAGAAAGACACGAATGAGGAGAGGGGGGCTCTCTAAAGAATGGGAACCATAGGGGGTGAATCTAATGGAAAATGTAGAATTGAAAAACGCAAAATCCGAAATGGAAAATCCACTGGATGAGTCTATAGCAGGTTGGAAATCAGAAGAAATGATTCGTGAACTTGAAGAATGGTGCATAAAAATCCAATTAAACAAAGACAGAGAAAAAGCCTCTAAAAAAGAACAAAGGCCTCACTCAGTGACCTGCAGGCAACATCAGACAATCTAATTATATCTAATTTAATTCCCAGAAGGAGAGGAAAGACGGTGGGGCAGAAAAAGGCATTTGAAGAAATAGTAACTGAAAATTTCCCAAATTTGATGAAAAATATCAACTCACAAATTAACAGAACCCAAGCATCATAGACATTTAAAAAAACCCTAAGAATATACTGATACCAAAGGTAAAGAGACCACCTTAAAAGCAGCCAGAGGAAAACAGACACATCACAAGGAACGAGGATGAGAAACACCGTTGCCAGGAGACAATTGAACGACATCTTTAAAGGGTTAAAACAGAGCTGTGAACCTAAAATTCTACATCCTGCAAAAAATAGTCCTTCAAAAATGAAGGTGAATTAGAGATATTTTCAAGTCATCAGGAAAGCATAGCAATCATAAATGAGCACACACTTAATAAAAGCTTCAAAGATATGAAGCAAAAACTAGCAGATTAAAGGGAGATAAATCTACTATCATAGTTGGAGATTTTAACACTCCTCTCTCGGTAATTGGCTGAATATGTAGAGGGGAAGCCAGCAAGGCTGTGAAGACGTGCACCACCATAAACCAGCATGACGCTCCACCCAACGGGAGCAGAAGACACACATTTTTTTTCAAATGCATATGGACTATTCACCATAAAACGTCTCAATAAATATGAAAGGATTAAAATCATACAAAATATACCTCTAACCATAGACAGTTAGAAAGAAATTACATTAACGTACCTGTAAAATTCCCTCAAATATTTGGAAATTAAACAAAAGACTTCTAAATAAACTGTGAGTAAAGCAAATCCCAAAGGAAATTCAAAAATGTTTTAAACTAAATAATAATGAAAACATGACATATTAAAATTTGTGGACTATAGCCAATGGATTGTTTTAAGTGAAAATCATAGTTTTAAATGTTTGTGTTAGAAAAGACTAAAGGGTTTTAAATAAATGATCTAAGCTTCTGCCTTGAAAATCTAGAAAAAGAAGAGCAAATTAAGCTCAAAGTAGAAGGAAGGATGTAAGAAAGAGCAGAAATCAGTGAGACAGAAATTGAACCAGCAATAGAGAAAAATGTTAAAAAACCAAAAGTTAGTTCTTTAAAAAAAATAATAAAATTCATAAACTGCTGGCTATGTTACTCAAGGAAAAAAAGAGAGAGAGAAAACACAAATCACCAGTATCAGGAATGAAAGATAAGACATCACCACAGATCCCACAGATATTAAAAGGAGATAAGAAAATATTATAAGCAACTTTATGCTGATAAATTTGACAACTAGAGGAAATGGACAAACTCCTCGAAGGACACAAACTGCCAAAACTGACACAAGAAGAAATAGAAACTCTGAACAGATGTGTATCTGGTTTAAAAAATGAATTCATAATTAAAAACCTCCCCACAGAGAAGAAAGTGGAGGCTGTTTGGTTCCAGGACGGGCGAGGGGGAGTCCTGGGGTTCGGCTGAAGAACATGAGTGTGGGAAGGGCTGGTGCGCGTGGGCGTGACTGTGACGGGAACCATGGTGCCATCCGCCCCTGTGCAGAGCCTGCTGCCCAGCAGCCTTAGAATACAGATGAGGAGGAAGAGGCTCAGAGATCCCGTTTCTCGACAAGGTCACACAAGAGCTGGCAGAGCTGTCTCCTGGTGCCCACGGCAGGGAAGGTACTTGGAGACGCCCGGAGCTTCCTTCCCACGTCTCCTTTTCCTTCTCATCCTCAAGCCTTTGAGACAAAGGACAAAGGCCCCATGAACCGCAATCAACCTACACCATCAGAAGCCAAATCTTGCAGACATTCCCTCTTGCTCCTTGGACCTAGTGTCTTGTTAAGTCTTTCCTACCACGCGCCCAGGCGATCAGGGACATCATAATATCTTAGCAATACAGTAGAAATACAAATGCATACATACACACACATAGATATGGTAGCCATGAATTGATCCTTCAAGCCAAGACGCTCAGAAGGTGAAGGGTGCTAACAGTCACATGAGGACTACGGCAGGACCAGGACTGACCTGAAAAAACTAGGATGAGTGGCGGATCTGAGCGGGAGGAGCGAGAGCATCCTCGCTCTCCAGGCACGTCATGTAATACAATAGCCGCTCCAGCCTCGGTCTGCACCGCGCTTCACAACCGCCAGGAAGTGGTGGACGGCACTATCATTCCTGCACAGGCTGGTCGGCTGACCCTCTCCCAGGCCTTTCGCGGCCTTCCCCTGAAAGCTCCTTCTTCTCCTACAGAAAAAATTCTTCCTTTCCTGAAAAACCTGAACATACGAACAAATCTCTAGCTAACGAACCCCTTTTTGCCCCAGGTGCCAGGGAATGCAGAACAAAAGTGAGGGCTGCCTTGAAGTCTGGTGATCAGTGCAATCAACCCGCCACTTCTGTTCCCACAGCTCCACTGTTTTCCTGCGTTTCCCAAAACCCTTCTGGAAGCAGAATGGGTACAAGTTATAAATCACATTTTTTTTATTGAGGTTATGATAGTTTACAACATTGTGAAATTTCAGTTGTACACTATTATTTGTCGGTCACCGCATAAGTGCTCCACTTCACGCTTTGTACCCACGCCCCACCCCCCTTCTCCTGGGTGACCATTAATCTGTTCTCTTTGTCCACGTGTTTGTTTATCTTCCACATATGAGTGGAGGCATACACTGTCTGTCTTTCTCCATCTGGCTTATTTCACTTAACATAATACCCTCAAGATCCATCCATGTTGTTGTGAATGGGACAATTTTGTCACTTTTTATGGCTGAATAGTAGTCCATTGTGTATATATGCCACATCTTCTTTATCCATTCATCAGTTGCTGGGCATCTGGGTTGCTTCCATGTCTTGGCTATTGTGAATAAAGCTGCAGTGAACACAGGGGTGCATAAATCTCTTTCAATTGCAGATTTCAAGTTCTTTGGATAGACACCCAGTAGTGGGATGGTTGGGTTGTATGGTAGTTCTATTTGTAATTTTTTGAGACATCTCTATACTGTTTTCCACAGTGGCTGCACCAGTTTGCCACCAGCAGTGTATGAGGGTTCCCTTTTCTCCACAACCTCGCCAACATTTGTTATTTTTTGTCTTGGTGATTATAGTCATTCCAACGGGTGTAAGGTGGTATCTTAGTGTAGTTTTGATTTGCATTTCCCTGATGATCAGTGATGATGAGCATCTTTTCATGTGTCTATTGGCTATCTGTATATCTTCTTTGGAGAAATGTCTGTTCATATCCCCTGCCCATTTTTTGATCCGGTTGTTTGATTTTTTGTTGTTGAGTTGTGTTCTTTATATATTATGGAGATTAATCCTTTGTGGGATATATGATTTGCAAATATTTTTTCCCAGTTGGTGGGTTGTGTTTTCATTTGCCTTGTAGAAGCTCTTTAGTCTGATGAAGTCCCACTTGTTTATTCTTTCTATTGTTTCCCTTGTCCGAGAAGAAATGGCATCTGAAAAGATCCTTTTAAGACCAATGTCAGAGAGTACTGCCTATATTTTCTTCTAGAAGTCTTATGGTTTCAGGTCTTACCTTCAAGTCTTTGATCCATTTTGAGTCTATTTTTGTGTAGGGTGTAAGATAATGGTCAATTTTCATTCTCTTGCATGTGGCTGTCCAGATTTCCCAACATCATTTATTGAAGAGACTTTCCTTTCTCCATTGTATGTTCTCAGCTCCTTTGTCGAAGATTAGCTGTCCATAGATGCGTGGTTTTATTTCTGGCCTTTCAATTCTGTTCCCTTGATCTGTGCACTTGTTTTTGTACCAGTACCATGCTGTTTTGATTACTGTAGCTTTGTAGTATGTTTTGAAGTCAGGGATTGTGATGCCTCCAGCTTTGTTCTTTTTTCTCAGGATTGCTTTGGCAATTCAGGATCCTTTGTTGCCCCATATGAATTTTAGGGTTCTTTGTTCTATTTCTGTGAAGAATGTCATTGGGATTCTGATTGGGATGGTGTTGAATCTGCAGATTGCTTTGGGTAGTATGGACATTTTAACTATGTTTATTCTTCCAATCTATGTGCATGGAATGTCTTTCCATCTCTTTATAGCGTCATCAGTTTCTTTCAGGAAAGTCTTGTAGTTTTCATTGTATAGGTCTTTCACTTCCTTGGTTAAATTTACTCCAAGGTATTTTATTCTTTTTGTTGCGATTGTGAATGGGATTGTGTTCTTGAGTTCTCCTTCTGTTAGTTTGTTATTAGTATATAGAAATGCCACCAATTTATGTAAGTTGATTTTGTACCCTGCAACTTTGCTGTAATTGTTGATTATTTCTCATAGTTTTCCAATGGATTCTTTAGGGTTTTCTGTATAAAATCATTTCATCTGCAAAAAGCAAGAGTTTCACTTCTTCATTGCCTATTTGGATTCCTTTTATTTCTTTTTCTTGCCTAATTGCTCTGGCCAAAATCTCCAATATCAGGTTGACTAAGAGGGGTGAGAGTGGGCACCCTTGTCTTGTTCCTGTTCTTATAGAGATGGCTTTCAGTTTTTCCCTGTTGAGTATGTTGGCTGTGAGTTTGTCATATTTGGCCTTGTTATATTGAGGTACTTTCCTTCTATCTCCATTTTATTGAGCGTTTTTAAATCACATTTTTAAAGGAACCATCTGTGTGCAGAGGCAGCCCTCACAATCTGCTCCCCAGTCCCGCCCAGCACTGAGACTCCTGGACAATGCCTCCCTGGGGTGTCCTCAAGGCTGGCCGCTCTCTCAGTCGCCTCGGTGTCTGCTTCCTGGAGGAGCGGCCCTCACCATGGAGAGCTGGTGAGTGTCTGGTGCCGTGACTGGGGCACTAGCTTAGGAGCCAGGTGACTCCCCCGAGAACAGCAGCCCTTCAGGGCTGGGACTTGGGGCCCTCCTGGTGCCACCTCTGCAGAGTGCAGGCTCCTCGAGCAGGCGGATCCTCAGCCCCCCAGGCTGTGAGCCCGTCCAGGCGATACTGCTCGCCCTGCAGCTCTTCCCGGTCCCCGCTCCAGGACCCGTCTGCTGGCACCTCCTGCAGACCCCCATACGGAAAGCCAAGACGTCGCCAAGGGACACCCCTCCCTTTCCTCCACACCAAGTCCAAAGCCCCTCCCTCCCCACTCCCGAAGCATGTTGTGTGTGCGCCCCATCTGCAACTCGCGTGCCGTTCTGCCTGGACCTGGTGAGCTGGGAACATGCCTGTGCCCTGGACGGCCACACTGAGACCTGCACACTGCGCAGCCTTCAGGAGCTGGGCCTCCTCACCTGTGGAGTGGGGCGGCCCACAGCCCACCTCTGTCACAGCCACAGACACAGGCACCTGCAGACCGAGGCCCACCATCCCAGTGGGAGGGCAGGTGAGGACTGGAGGAGTCAGACCTGGACTGGCCAGTGACAGCCAGGACTGAGGGTGCTTGGGAGCTCCCGCCCCGCCTGCCTCCTCACACCCGCCTCTGCTGTTTGCTATTTTGTTATTGTTGTTAATTCCTCGCCAGGTGGAACCCGGCACTGTGGGGCTTAATTAAGCTCAGCCAGCTGTTGCCGAACATGGGGAGTGCGATGCGTGGCAGAGCCAGCCTCGAGCGCTGGAGCAGGGTGGGCGAGGGGGCGGAGCGGGGCGGGCGCCACAGAGGCCCTGGGAGGCCAGGAGCCCCAGGCCCAGAAAGAATGGGGTCTGAGTTAGGGGGACAGGAAGCTGGGTTGGCAGGGGGACCTCTGGGCAGGTTCAGGATGTGGGTGGACCAAGCCCGCTGCCACCTCTGCCCCCATGGACACAGAGACCCCAGCTCCCGAGAACCAAGACCCCAGAGGACAAAAGATGTTGCGGGGGGTGTTCCTGTGCAGGGGGAAATCGTCAAGGGCCTGCGCTGAGGCTGTGCTGCCCAGACGCTGGACGGCAGCCCCCAGGGCGCATGAGGTGTGTTGTGTGTGTGCATGTGTGTGCTGTGTGTATGTGTGTGGTGTGTCTCCATATGTGGGATGTGTGTGTGGTGTGTATGGTGTGTCTCCACATATGGTGTGAGTGTGTGAGTGTGTGTGTATGGTGTGTCTCCATATGTGGTTATGTGGGGGGGGGGTGTGTGTGGGGTGTGTGTGGGGTGGTGTGGTGTGTGTGTGTGGTGTTTGTGAGTGTGGCGTGTGTGTGTGTGTCTGGTGTGTGTGGTGTGTGTGGTGTCTACACGCCCAGCCTCAGGGTGGGATTGGACGGGTCGGCATTTCCCAGTGTCATTTCACAGAACAGGACTCACGACTTCCACACGACGTTCACAGACATTCCACAGAACCACGGTCAGGTGAGCGTGCACAGCCCTCGTCCAGCAAAGCTGAGCTGGCTTGTTTGCTGCAGGCTTTCTCTGAGCCACTCACGCGTGCTCTGAGCTCTGTGTGTGACCACGCGCACCGAGGAACCCTTATTTGAGGGGTCCCAGTTACGCGCACACACACTGGGAAGTGCTGGGTGCTGTGAACAGTGAGCGTCAGGCTGCTGCTGGGTGTGGGCCTGGCGGGGCAGGAGGAGGGTCCACCCGTGTCGCACCTCCTCCCCTTGTCCCCACAAACTGAACAGTCCCCTCAAATAGATAACGAACTCCTACAGATCAGTCAGAATAATAGGCATAGATTTGAGCAAACCTCCACAAAAGGAGCCCTCCACATGGCCAGTGAACATATGAGAGTCGTTCAGGCTTTGCTGTGACACCACTGCTCACCCCCAAAGTGGCTACAATTAAAGAGACCAACAGACGGAGTGTTGGTGAGGACGTGGAGCACCAGAAGCTCTTGCACGCAGGCAGTGGGTCTTCGAACTGCTCACCGGGCCCTGAGGAGCCGCTGGCACTTCCTATGAACGTTGGGCACAAGCGAACCCTGTGCACGGTCTTCACCTCTCTCCTGCCCCCCGTCAGTCCGTTCAGGCAGCTCTGCTCGGAATACCCAGACGGGGGCTTGCACTGCAACCAGGGATTTCTCCAAGTCCTGGAGGCTGGAGGCCGCAGTCAAGGCACCGGCAGACTCGGCGCCTGGTGAGGACACTCTTCCTGGTCCGTAGATGGCATCTTCTCGCTGTGTCCTCACATGGCAGAAGGGGACAGGGAAAGGAGGCTAATCCTATTCATGACGGCTCCACCTGCGTGACCCAAGCCCCGCTCCTAACAGCATCACATGGAGGGCTAGGTCTCAACAGGTGGGGGACACGACAGTCCGTCTATGGCACCCACCTAGTAGGACATTGGGTCCCTCTGCCTTCTCTGCCCCGCAGTCCCAATTTACCTCCGCCCCTGCCTGGGCCGCAGGCCTCTGATAAAAGTTTGCCAAAGCAGGTAGAGTAGCGGCTCCTCCTTCCTAAATGTGCATTATCTCGGCCGTTGGAACGAAGCACCAGGAAATGAACTGAGGTCTCAGTCTGCGCTGGGAGGAAGAGGGAGAATGGAGATAGTCGTGTCTTCCTTCCGATGAACTCTGTGGTTTTCTGAGCACTTTTGCCAACAGAACTTCACTGGCTCTCACCGCACCTTAGCGAGGTGAGCAGGACCTTCATTCCCTGCCCAGCTCACACTGCTGACAACAGGTGAGACCAAGGGAGGAGCAGGCCACCCCGGGTGCATGTGGCTGCGCGTACCGAGCTTAAACGGGAGGGGATGTCACGTCCCCAGTGGAGGTCCAGAAACAGGCAGGTTCAAACGCTTCACGACGTCATCAAAGACCCGCATTCTTTTCACATCTCTGCCCTGCCAGGGTCTCCTGTGGGTCTGTGGTCAGAGGCACTGATGGCTTTGGGTCGGCCCATCTGTCCAAGGATGCCCGGTTAGCAAGCAGCCCTGGTAGAGAGAATGCCGAGGGCAGAGCTGTCTGTTTTCTGGGGTGAAGTTCGGGCAAGTCTGCTTGCAACTCATCATAAGATTCGGAATCCTGCCTCAAACGCCTGCAGGCACGGCCTCCACCTGGACCAGCCACGGGCCTTGGGGGAAGAGGGAAGCCCACACACCGGGAAGCTCGAGCTTTTGGCCAGGCCAGGAGTAACGCCATTCTTTGCCTCTGGTCCAGGAGCCTCGTGTCTTCCGCCAGCATCTTCAAAACCGGGGCAGGCCAACTCACTAGCCTCAGACTCCTCGCCTGGCTGGTGCAAGACGGCTCAGTGACACAGGCACCACCCCAGACAGGGTAACTAACAGGGGAAGGTGGTCAGTCCTGGGGGCCTCCCTTACAAGCCAGAATAATGTTTCCTGGAAGTCTCCCTCGTGTTGGGCCACGTGCCCAGCTGATAGGTAAGTGGGGGAAGGACTGGGTGGGCAGACGCCAGCGTGCACCGTCCACCACAGGAGGGCTGGCGAAGCCACGGACCAGGGCAGCAGCTCACAGCCAGTCCTCATCCAGAAAGCTAATGTGAACCGAGCACTTTCTGTGCATCTCGCTCCCAAAACACAGCCCTCGCTCTGGATGAAGCTAGAAGCAGCTCACGGAAGGGGACCAAGCTGGCCAGTGGCAGCACTGGGGCCGAACCAGAGGTCAGCCATCCTCTACACCGTGTTCCTGCTTTGAGGTGACAAAAGGCCACAGTGTCTTAAACCAGGGGGCTGCCATCACCCTGGGGACAGGAAAGGCCTGGCTGGCAGGCGCTAGCACTGCAGGGCCCCGTGTGTTCAGACGTGGAGGCCTCACATGGCGCTCCGGGGAAGAAGGCCTGGCAGTGTGTGTCAGCCACGATTCACGCCTCCTGCCTGCCACGGAGGCTCCAGCTGGGGGCCTGGCAACTCAGCCTGACCTCCACTCCCTGCCATCGTCTTTCCAGCTGTCATCACCTGTGGCCCCAGGGTCTTCTTGGGGACCAGATAAGCAGGCCACAGCCCTCCCCAGTGGCCCCCTCACCGGGACATCCCCTGCACCACCCTGGGTGTCCTTGTCAGCTGGGAGAAGACAGCTGCCCTGGCACTGGGACAGGCTCTGGACCCCCAGCCCGTCCCAGAGCCCACTGAGCTCCCTATCTACCAACAGCCCATAGAGGAAGGAGCAGAACGGGGAGGGGGACGTGACGCTCACATGGCCCAGACCAGGAGATGCCCGTCCATCTGGGTGCCCACCTGGAACCTGGTGGTGGCCTCACCTGCAGATACACCTGGGGAGGCGGGCTCTGACCTATCAGTCAATGGCCACCTGCCCCACTGCCGGTTGGTGTAAACGCCTCCCACAACATGGGATGATTGACATGCTCTGGGTCCAGTGAGCATCAGATTCGTTCCCAGAGTCACTGTGCCTGTGCGGGAGCTGCCTTCACAGCCAGACTGTGGTGGGTGGAGAAGGGAGGCCCAGGGCAGGTGGCCATGCGGCCGGTGCGCCTGCCTCAGGGATGGGCTACCCTGTCTAGCATGACACTCCCATTAGGGCGAGCTGCTTTGGGGTGGAGGAAGGCAGGATGCAGGTGTCTGCAAGAGTAGTTAATGGGAACACAGCAGCCCTGCTCCTGGAGCAGGTTGTCAGGTCAGGAGGGGGGCCGGCGAATGCCACCCCCAGCCCGTTCTGACCCAGAGACGCCGTGGCCATCTGGAGACCTGGGGCCCAGCCCCATGTGTTAGCCCCTGCAGAGTGGTGGGCAGGCCTGGGCAGCCTTCCACACTGGCTCCTGGTGAAGTCCCATGGAGGCTGGCTTGCCCTCCGTGTCCTGGCCTTCTACTGGACACAAGGTGGCAAGCCCCAGAAGCCTGCTGAACACAGTGACGTGCCCGCCCACCTGCTGCTCTGGCCTCCCACCTCCTTCCATCCTCAAAGGCCAGAGCCTCAGAAGCCTCTGGAAGAACGGGGGCTCTGTG